CCATTCTATAATTTCCACAACTCAATGAATAGTGTTACTGAAGTCCCCATGGTGATTTTGTACGTAGGTTTTCAGTCGTGCCTTTTGATATCTTTTCCATCAAGCGAAACGGACCCAGTTACAGATTCATCGCATTAAACAGCTTCTTATCTTATTTTGCCACAATCTACACTTCAGTGTGAGCTTCTTTTCTCGGAGAAGTGTTCATGCGAATATAAAAATATGTGTTACCGAGGTCAAATCCAATATGAAAGTTGGTTTCTTGAGCTTCGATAATGACGGGTTGGTTAGCAATAACCAGTTCGTCCAATGCTTTTGGCGACGAAAAAAGAGAAGAGAATAGCTGCCAAGGCTACTCGCAAAGAAAGTGACTTTATGGATTTGTCTTCCATTTGCAGAGATGATCGAGTAATCTGGTTGTTTTTAAAGGAGAAGGGAAAGGAGGGTTTTGTGGTTTTGGGTGTGGGAGATAAGATTATGATGAAGCTGTGGACAAGTGAAGAACATGGAGAAGTTGAAGTTGTGGACGTCATTGCAACTTTGCTTCCTCTTCTTTGTGTGTGAGAGAGAGAGAGAGAGTGATATTAATGGATCACCTGACCGTAATGTAAATTTTACTTCCAACCTACGATACTTCAAAAAAGTTTAGGTGTTCAATCTGCAGCTAATACTTTCACATGCAAATAGGGGTTGAGCCGAGTGCTGAATATACATGCCTACACACTTAAGATCCAAAATTAGAGCAACCTAATATTAGCCAACAAATTCTATAGATTACTAATTATAAAGAATACAATAAGAAAACCCACTTACACCTCAAACATAATTCCTACAAACTTTAATAATATTAGAGACCATAAATGTCAAAATACATTTTTTCTTGCAAAAATGAACATAAAATATATACAATGAAAATATACAATAATATAATTATATATATTACATGTAAACCAAATTCCGCGCGTAGCGCGGAGCTACCCTAGTTTATAATATAATTTAATAAAATCCACGAGTATACTTAAAACTCTAATATTTTACACTTTACTGTTTATGTTACCAAATAAACTAAATAAAAGCACAATAAAACAAAAACACAATCTCATAGCTTATAAATGAAAGTTAATCACATTGAACAATACACATCACTGTCAAATTTGAATAATGTATGAATCTATAACAAAATAAATATAAGCAATTAAATTATGACATTTTCAAAAGTCAAAAACATATAAATATGAAGAACAAGCACCACCACGGGTGCACCGGTCAAAAGCTAATACCTATTAAAAATATACTCAGAATTTAAATTAGAATTGGCCACATAATTATAGAATATGGTTACATTATATATTTAGATGCTATCTTTTGGGGAATTTAGATGCAGTTTTATAATATGTTAATTGAAGTAATTATTAACTGGCGATTTTGATGCTATCACATATTTAATTAAGTTTTTATTTGATTAAATAAGACATTTAGATGTAAATAGAAAAAATGTATCCCGATATTATACTGAAGTGGTGGTTACATCCACAATATATAACTCGATGCAGTTCATATTTTTTAAATTTAAATCGTTGAAAATAATTAGTTAGACTGAATCTTTATCAACTAGTCATGGTGATGTTTTAATAGAATACTAGATTTTGATCCATGCTTTGAAAAAACACAAGAATATTTTTACTATTTTAATCAAATTTATTTGAATTAATTATTTAAACACAAAAAAATTAAAAATTGTTCTATTAATATTTAAAAATGTTTTATTATAATGTTTATTTTCACGTAGTGTTTTCATATCTGATCCAAACCCATAGTTGAACCGGTGCATCACATAATGAAAATTTTATTAATTAAAACTTTGATAAATCATACTTTTAATATTAGATAAAATTGATTTTTTTCTAATCTCTTTAATGAAAGTTTTCTTGTTGTATTCATATAGCAATATTAGTTTCTTTTCGTTATTAATACCTACTATAAGTGTACAGTTTTTTACTTATTTTATATCGAAAAATTATTTTTAAAAAAAATTAAGTTGACATATCAATATTATGGATAAAATGACATAGTAAATAATATCTTTTTTTTAATTTTTGATCGCTAAATAATATTATGCACGAAAATATAATAATAAAATTAAATAGAAAGTATAAATTTCATAAAAAGAAAATTATTATTAATCACAAAATAGGGGAAATTATCAATTACCATAAATATAGAAAATATTTAGTTAATTAAAATTATAAAAATAAAAAGTGGTATCTAAACTATTAAAACAAGAGTACAAAAATGAAATAGCCTGACTTTTCCTCAAAAATTACCTTCTCATGCCATCAGAATTAAACACTGTCGTTTAAATTTAATTTTGCTAACCCATTATTTCGCTAGACCATAAATTCGTACCTTATTTCAGGAATCGTTTATGGTAGGTACTATATTCATCTACTCCACCTTGGCTTACTCCGAATCTGTTACGCATATTCCTTCATGGTGTACACACTTGGCTTTAGGTTAACATTGAATTAACACTCAGAAAATGTGGAAGAAGAAGAGTTACAGTTCAGGCCATTGCCAAAACGAAGGCAAAATGATGTGAGCGATGTAAGTAAGCTCTTTATAAAAGATGAAGTCCTCACAGTATAACTTAATTTCATAAATGAAGGATTGATTCATTGTGTGATTGATTCTTTTTTGTTTCTAGGCGAGTTACAGAGCAAACGAGATTACAACTATTGGGAATGGTTCCATGCTTTATTCGCTTATTAATTAGGTGGAGAACTTTATTTTCTAATTTTTTTTGTTTTGATTCTTCTGTAGAGATAGGAAGTCAACGACATCTTGCGACATAGCATGTCTTCTCTTCACCAACGCTCGATCTGAAGAAGCTTTTGTGTGGCGACGCAGAGGGAAGCTTGCGTGGTGGTGGAGGTGGAGTCGAACAAGAAGAAGAGAGGCGGATGAGGAGAGAAGAAAGAGACGGCGTAAACTAGGTTTTATTTTATTTTTTTCTTGAAAATTTTGGTTTAGTTTGGTTTACTTTGATGTACCAGTCTTAACTTGGTAACAAAATTTGATATATAAAATTTTATAAAATATTTATATGATTAAGGTAATACTCACCTTAGAACCTTCCATAAAATACTTTTAAAAAAAAACTGATTATAAACAATAACATTTTCCAATTTAATATCTAAAATTTGTTTATTTTAATTAAAATAATTATAAGTTTAGAAAGAAATTTTAAATCTCCAAAATCTAAAAAATAATATTGAAATATTTAATTTTAGTTTAATATTTAAGAAATAAGGTAAATAAACTATAGAGAAAAAATTAAAAATTTAAAAATTGAATTTGATGGAAAGACATTTATTGGTTTTTTATTTCAGAAAGAAAACTAAACTCAATTTTTTAAAACATTAAAATTTTACTACAAATTTAAGATTATAAAAAACTTAGTTACTTTTATTTCTCAAACACAAAATAAAATTAAACTTTTCTGAGATATGTTTTTAAATTTTTAAATTTTTTAGATTTCGTTTCAAACTTCTTAGTATTCTTTTAAAAAATAAACAAATTTTGAGTATTAAAATGGACACATTAATAAAATTTTAATATTAATTGAGGTATTAAATTGAGTTGCGAAAAAAGTTTAAGTATTAAAAAATTTATAAAAATTTAGTTAGGGTATTTTTATGAAAATTCTTTAAACATATTTAATTGCATGTAAGGAACGCAATGGTATATCGGAGTATGATAGCAGTGAAAAAAAAAACTAATATATCGGGAAAATTTCCTATTTCAACCTGAATCTTACCCGTCGTGCTTTTTCCTACATGAACTTTGTAATAGTGTGTATTTCATACTAAAATAACAAAAACTGAAAATAGTGTATGAACTTTACGCATCATCCCTTTTCATTCTAGAACTTTATAATCATGCATATTACATATTAAACTAAATAATAATGTCCGTCAAATGTGTTAGACATCCGTTAATTTATCAAAATGACATCATTTGAAGAAATTCTCTAAAATTAAATTTAATGATAACAAAACGGCCTAATTCAATAACTTAGATTAGTCTTGCTAGATGTCAAAAAAAGAAAAAGATTAGTCTTGCTAAATAAAATTTTCAAAATTCTGTACTTATTTTGAATGTTTTTTCGTAATTTACTTTCATTATCTTTTTTATGTTTATGTATAAATAATGTATTTGTTTTGAAAAAATTATCAATGTAAAATTTGAATTTTATATTCATCTTTAAATCCCATTATTTATAGTTTAAATTGATAAAACCCGCAAGTATACTTAAAACTCTAATATTTTACGCTTTAATATTTATTTTCCTAAGTAAAATGAATAAAAGTACAATGAAAAAAATACAATCTCATAGTTTATATAAATAGACCATAAACCATTGAACAAGACACAAATATGTCAAAATACTATAAATCTATAACAAAAACATAAAAAATTATATTTATGTAAACATTTATGTCAAAAAAAAAGAAAAAAAAACGTGAAAAACATATACCCACGCGGGTGTGCGGATCAAAGGCTAATTATCTCATAAATATTTTGAAAATCCATGGGAACAATCCAAAATTTTAAAAATAGGATCATGTTTTAATAATATAGATATAAACAAGAATCTAGTAATAATAATTTAACAAATGAATTCCTTCATTTCAGGTTCACACCGTATGAATCTCGTGAACTAAGTCATACCTCTGAACTTTTACATTTTAGTCGGCTCTCTTGTCGCCGCAAAGAAGTCTCAGCCTTCAACTCTTCCCTCTTCTCCTTACAAAGTGTAAACATCGTTTTCTACAAAGTGATCTTTTGAAACAAATTTCGTATTGGGTAACCAAAAAGAATACACACATATATAAACATCATATATCTCTTCAGTATCCAATCCCTCTAGAGTCTCGTACAACATCAAATCCCAACGAATCATCTATTAAAAACCCCTTTGAGAAAAACTATCCAAAACAATGTACTCATTATCGTCTGTATTAAAACGCCTCATTTTGATCCATGTCTTGTCCGTACAACTACTTATAAACAGCGAATTGCCCTTAAACATGACCAATGCGTATCTCAACCACAAATGCTTGGTTAGTCAAGGAAAATACAAACCGGGAAGTGAGTACGAGACACGTTTAAAAAGAATCATGAAAAGGTTCTATTCGGGCAGTAACAAAGGTTACGACGGGATCGGCGATCCTACTTTATCCGCTATGCTCCAATGCCGCGGCGACTCCTACGGGGCCAAGTGCCACGACTGCTTTGCCACCGCCCTTGCTGCGGTATATTATTGATTAGTTAGTTATTTTTTTTTTAATTTGTATAAAGCTGCACATGTACGGCGTTTGATTATGTTTTAGCAAAAGACAAAAAACTACTTAATATGTATATTACCGTGCAAACCCGTTATTGATTTTGTTGTGGATATTAATATGTATATTAAAGCTTCGTAGAAGATGTCCGTGGTACAAGGGAAAGATGATATGGTATGATCAATGTCTTCTCGCGATTTCTTCCAAATTATCTTTTGGACAGATCGATTACGACAATAACTTTTGTATGTCCAACGCAAAGAAGGTGGGAGGAGATCAAATCGCGTTTATAAAAGCTTGGAATAATCTTATTATCGATCTGACGAATTTAGCCACCATTGGAGATAATTACACACTGTACTCTGTGGGAGAGAAGCGGTACAAGGGTGATATGATATATGGAATGGTGCAGTGTACGCGAGACTTATCGCCAAAGGCTTGTAAGGAGTGTGTGTCCTATAATAGGTTGCATTTTCAAGATTGCGTGAATGATATACGAGGAGCGAGAGTTGTAGGCAGGAGTTGTAGTTTTAGGCTTGAGTTTTACCCTTTTATTGCCAAGCAAGTCCGTAATATTTAAAAGAGCTAAAAGTATTTTTTTTAAATTCAATTTATGTAAAATTTATTCAATCATAAGTTTTCCTTTTTTTGCTGGCTAAACTCACTCACTTTTATTAATAAAAAATGCAAAGTTATTACAGAAAATATTGAATCAATTTTTTTTTGAATCAAACTTTTACATATGCACATATGCTCAAGACAATTTAAACAAATAAGTAAATTATTAATGCGTTTTATCAAAACCATACTTGCGTTTTATCAAAGCCATACTTGCAAAAGTATCAATTTTGACAAATCATCTCTACTCTTTAGTAAGAGAATTTGACAGGATATGAGGCAAGAGATTAAAGACACACTTGGGATTCAAAACGAAGGAGGAATGGGCAATTACTTAGGAATCCTAGAGGATATCAGTGGATCCAAATACAAGCTATTTACCTTCTTAAAGGACAAGCTGATGAATAGAGTAAATGGATGGGGACGGGTAGATGGTTATCAAAAGGTGGGAAGGAAGTTATGATTAAGTCAATTCTCCTAGCACTTCCAACCTATGTAATGTCTTGTTTCTTACTTCCACTGAAGATCTGTGATGCCTTAGCTAGTGCCATTGCACAGTTTTGGTAGAGTTTGAACCCACCAAAAAAAGGCATACATTGATCAACATGGGATAAACTATGCTTATCTAGAGAGGAAGGAGGGATTTGTTTTAGAATGATTCATGAGTTCAATCTGGCGATGTTAGCTAAGCAATTATGGAGACTGGTTCAATACCCAGATTCTTTGGTAGCCCGAGTTATGAGAGGTCGATATTACAGATTGAGTATGCCTTTGCGTCAGCTCACTGTCAGTAGCCCATCGTATGTGTGGACTAGTATATCGGCGGCACGTGAATCACTATTGCTGGGTGTTAGACAAAAAATACATTCAGGATATGATGTGAAAGTATGGGAGGATCCATGGATCCCTACTATCCCTGCGAGATCAGCAATACCATTTGCACTGGTCTTGCACCCGAACATGAGAGTAAGCAACCTTATTAATCAAGAAACAAAGGCTAGGGATTTGAGCCGGTTAGCGGATTACGTGGAAGCTGCTGATATTCCACTCATAAGGAGTATGGCTATTAGTTCTATACATCGTGGGACACGTACTGTTGGAGTTATACGAGGAATGGACAGTACACAGTTAAATCTGGCTATTGGGTTACATGGAATATATTGATGAAGGAGGAGGAAGGCATAGTGGGAGAACCTAGCATCACAAAACTTCAAGCACATGCTTGGAAGGTTAAGGCACCCCAAAAGATATGTCATCTTATGTGGCAATTAATAACATGTCATATGGCTGTCACGAGCACTTTAAACTATAGACATTTGAGATGTGATAACCATTGTCCCCGATGCGGAGAGCCAGAAGAAACAGTTACACATGCGATCTTTCAGTGTCCACCTGCAATACAAGTTTGGGCATTATCATATACTCCTACCAATCCAACCCTTTTCCCACTACAGAGCACATATGCAAATGTGGATTATCTCTTCTGGAGGAAAAATGCGATAATGGAACCGGAATTGGACAGGGATCCTTATCCTTGGCTAATATGGTGTATTTGGAAAGCTCGGAACGACAAACTGTTCAGAGGAATCAATAGAGATCCTTTGGAACTAGCCCGCTATGCGGAGAGCGAGTGTCAAGCCTGGTTCCAAGCTAATGAACAGGTTATAGCGCTAATGTTAGGAGTTTTCAAGGCTCCTAAGGCAAATGTTGTAGTATAAATGATTGTCGAACCAGTTCCGAGAGATTTAAAAGCCCCGAGAATGCAAGTACTAGCTTAATCTAAGTGCGATCATGTGATTGATTGGTTTTTAAGGTTAACTATAACTAGAATGCAATAAAAGATATAATTTTGACAATGAAGATAAAGGAGAACTCATGGGCATAGGGAATTTGACATTGGGTGATCAATTTTCGAACTAAGGATGGCAAGCGATCTATTAAACTGTCTACCTTAGGCCTAGATACAATTCTAAACGAGATCTATGTCTAGATGAATGTTCATTTACTACCATAACTCAAGCATCAAATGTATTTGGTTGAATATTATGAAAGTAATCATTAGGAATAGATCTATTAGCCATCTTAACACCTTTAACAACAAGTGTCCCTGGTAAAGACTGTTAAAAGCTTAAGAGAGTTGACTCGGACATTTCATTGAACACTTTGTGAGTGGGAAATGTCTGGAGATCAACCTTTGAGTGATCAATTCAAAAGAGGCATTAGGGTTACTCTAATAAGCAAGGACAAAAGAAATCTAACACTAAAACATCCCAGATCTACCCAAATCACCCTTAATCTCCCTAACCCATGAACTTACTGGTGATTTACTCACTAATCATCATGATTACTCTTGAACCCATCATAGATTCAAGCTTAATCATGTGGATGATGAAGTAGACAAGTAAACAATGAAAATAATGATCTAGAAGATGAACTTTCCCAGAGTTTTTGTATGTTTTCTCCTCCAAAATCCCGATCCATCTGCCATGGAGGCATACAGCATATTTAAAATTAGGTTTCTAAAACTCAAAACCGAAAAACGGAAATTGCAAAAAGGTCCTCGAAAGCATATTTTCGTACACAAACGACACGCAGCGACCTGGACGTGTCGCTCCCGGAGGTCGCTCCAGGCGCTGGAGTGACTTGACCAGGTCGCTCTCGAACCTCGCTCCCAAGCCTCCTCTTGCGTGAAAACCGCAAACGGCTCCTATTTATCGCTCCCCATGTCGCTCTGAGTGCTGGAGCGACCTTCCGGTGTCGCTGCGAGAGGTCACTCCGAGTTGGGGATGGAGCGACTTCGTGGAGCGGCCTTCTTGTGTCGTTCTGATATGGAGCAACCATGGGCACTCGCTCTGGCACCTCGCTGCGGTCTCTGTTCGAGCAATACTCATCCTAAAATCCTCTTTTGGACCTCAATTCCACTCAATCACCTCCAAGAACTCCAACGATACTCCATTACCTGAAAAGAACTTATGCATTCAAAATGCAACCTAGAAACGGCTAAATCCAAGTCTAAATGCTCACCATGAACAAGAATGCATGATTAAAACTATGTAAATATGCAACATAACAACTCCCCCAAACTTGTCATTTACTTGTCCTCAAGTGAACTTTTTTTAGAAGTCATAGGGAGTGAAGTTTAAAGGTGGGAGCTCATGACCAAAAGAAACACATCTAAAACTCAACTTGACATCCTAAAGAGACATTCCAAATAGCATGAACACACTCTCTTATTACACTCTAGCTTCTCTAGGCCTATCAAAACACTCTTATGCCTTTAAAAAAAATGCAATACCCTTCAATTTACAAGTCTTTAAACCAGCCCTCACATTAGTTCACACACACACACACACAAAGTGAAGTCTCACAAATGGGCACATGATTTCAATCATTTGGCTAGGCAAGCAATAAGTCTAGTGAGAATGAAAAGTAGGGTGCAGTTGCATCATTTTTAGTGACTATCACTCATGAACAAGGAGCATGATCATTATGCAAAATTTATCTAAGACTAGAGGCAACTAATGCATACATAGTCTTATTCTCATCATTCTACTCTTTTCCTAAGTGATCACAATTTCTAACCCTTTTTCTTCATCCCATGATCCCAAATAACCTTTACTCACATCACTCACTCAATGAACAAGTTTCTTTCTCTCTTTTTCTTTTCTTCTTATTGATTTACACCACCAACTGAGGATTCTTCACACACTTTATACTTCTTAGCTCTAACTTTTCTTCTTTTTCCCTCTTTTTTTTCTGGTAAGGTTTTGTTTTAGGTACAATCTAGAGCTTATCTTCATTTGTTTTGGTCCTTAGTGGTTTTTTTCTTTTCTCAAGGTACACTTTGGCTCAACTTTCTCATAATATCTCATCCAAAACCCAGATATTAACTTTAAGAACACATAAACTCACTCACCATCCTAGATGCTAGCTCAAAAAAGGTTCCTATGCTAGCAAGAGATGAGAACAATCCTATGTCGCCTCCAATACTCTCAAGATTTTGCACATGAAAAGCTATCAAAAGAAGACCTCACTCATGAAAATCAAATGTTTGGTCTCAAAAGAATGGCTTGGGTTCAAATTAAGGGTGTGGAGTACCATTTGGGTTAACAAAAGAGTGGTATAATGGAAAAGATAACCCAAATGTGTATGAGATCCATGATCAAGTATGCAAGTGCCCATATGCAAGTACCCTCAATTCTTCGGAAACACCCTCAAGATCCTTGGCCCGAGTCTCAGCCAAGCTGATCGCTTCTGCCCGCGCGAGCTCTGCTTCCGCAAGCGAGGCTTCGAGTGTAACGGAGCGTTCTCGCTCATGATCGACCGCGTTCTGTGCTTCCCCGAGGCTGACGTAGTTGCCTTCAGCTCGGTGTCGTATTTCTCGACCAAAGCGTTCACGCCTTCATCAGCCTAGGGAAAAATACGTGTCAGCGTAAGCATAATGGAGGCACAATCGCCGTGTCTAAAGAAGGAAGAGAAAGATGACTTACCGCCTCCTTGAGACGAGATACATTCAGGTAGGCGTCACGAAAATTCTGTTGGTCGGAAGTCGGAAGAATCCTTGGGTCGCAAGCGCGAACTTGATCAGCCGATGGACCGGTTCCCGCATCTGAAAGGGCCACCTTTTTCGTTGCCCTCTTCTTCTTACTTGTCTTTTTCTCCTTCTTCTTGGAACCTTCGGGAGGAATCGTGTCCTTCCCGAGCGAAAGATCCTCGTATGAAGGATTCGGTGCAGTAAGATCTTGATCCCCTTCGCCCCTTTCTTCGGAAGGGTTACTAGCATCCTTATCATCTCGAGCGCCCGAACCTTCTTTGGAAACAGATCCATCGCCCGTAGGCTTAGAACTCCTCTTCTTCTTCTTCTTCTTCTTCTTCTTCGCGGGAGGCTCCGCGGACGGGCTGCCACCAATCGGATCCACACAGTCCACTTGGACTTCAGTATCCGCAGCCCGCGGCCTTTTC